CTAAGAATTGGGCATACTCTTCAGCTCTGCCCTGCAAGGGTTCCCCCGCCTCCCTTTTGTTCAATAGGGAGCCTGGTGCTCTATTGTTTCCATAAACAATAAGGAAAGCCTGGTGCTCTTTTCCTTCCTCCCATCTTCTCCTGTGTGGCTTTTGTGCCAAGCCATCAACCGTCCTCTCTCAGGCACTTTCCTTGCCTTAACTACATATTTTTAATTCAAGTGCAGCACATCTATAGCAGTGGTCTCCAACCTTGGCAACTTTAAGACCTGTGGACTTCAACTCTGGAACTCTGGGAGTTGAAGTCCACAGGTCTTAAAGTTGCCAAGGTTGGAGACCACTGATCTATAGGACCACCTTCCCAGTACTGTAGTGTACCTTCCTTCTCCTTATATTCCTTTAATTGCTATGACAACCACCATTTTCTTTACCACCCACTGCACCCAAACATTTGTGTTCCACATCTGTACGTTGTCAGGAGGCCCATCATCAGAATTTGCTGTTTTGTACAATATTAACCCTTGTTTTCAGTAGTTGCACTGGCAAAGAGAATACTACATGTCTTTTTTGAACAGGTGATTGCTTAAAGAAAACACGTCTTAGCTACCGTCTCATAATGCAGAAAAAAAGATTCAAATTTAAAATAGCTCTATAATAGTGTTAGAGAAAAGACACGATATTATTATATCATGTAGTTATTTTGTGAACTAACTTCAACATGAAGGTGCCTGGGTCAGAATTGGATTGGCATCCATGTTTCATTTCATAATCTAGGAAGGCCACACAGGTTCTTAGTAGTGTTGTAAGAAGAAATTGTTTTGATCCGTTTAAGTTTGTCTTAGATTCAGGAAAATCAGGACCCCCCCAAGATAGTTGTGATTGATAACACTTACTGCTATTCCTGGGAAACAAAAATGACCCCTGTGGGGGAAAAAATGCACTTTCTCGCTGACTGCTATTAAATAGCAGTGGGTCACAGAGTTCAATAATGTCACTGGCCATCTTCATGATTTGATCATTATTTCAGGTGGATGGTGTTGGCTGGGAAGAAGACGATCTGAATTGGGAAGAAGATACTAACTGGTGATGATGAAGATCTTCTGTTGGTTACAGTTCATTAGCTTCTTTCACAGTACTCTGGATATTCTTAAGTCCTCTCCTCATTCTCCACTTTCACAAGCAATGAGAACTTGGTATTGGCATATCAGTGCTTGCCTTTCTGAGTTAAACCTTTAGGCCAAAACTACAGCAGGGATTTCCCTGCCTTGGTTGCTAACAATTGGACAAAGTGGGATGTTACAGATATGTGGCTTTATATTTCCACAACTGTTTTATTTCTGAAGAATTCTAGGAAAAATAAATGGATAAATCACTAGCTTTTTGTGCAACTTATTTTTATGAGTAAACTGGCTTCAAAACATTTCTGTTGATCCTACAATTACAAGCGTAATTGTAGAATAAATGAGATTAAATTAGGACAGGAGGGAAAAAACCACAGGATAGCAGCAAATCTTAAATTTTTATATTAGACAGTTTATTTCCCAGATAAAAATATCCTGAAGGGGATTGTTAAATATATTTGTAATTCTTACGTTTTGGTAGTAAAGATAATATAAATAAACTAAAGAAAGAGCATAGATTAACACACGTGCAACTTTTAAAATCATTATTTTCACTCAGTTGCAATACTTTTCAACCAGAAAGCCATAATAAATTATAAACATAAAATATGCAGCTTTCTAGATCCAGAATTACTACTAGTTCTGCCTGTTTTGTGTTCAAACCCTAAATGTGGATTTTCAGTTTACAGTACAATACTAAAATCATCCAGAAATGACACCTTCGTCGTATCAATGTATGCTATTCTTTAAGCTGTGCAATGTCGCCTGTAATGTTTCCAGTTTCTTTGCAAGCCAAGTGGGGGGTGGGCCTTTCTGTAACAATTGCTTCATGGTCTCCAGCGCTCTTTCAGCCTTATCAACCGCTGACTTGTACTGCACCTCAGTGGGTGAGTAGCACATTCTCTTGGGGGAGGGCTACAATTAAAAAAACAGAAGAACAGTTCTGTAACACAAGGATTTTAAGCAGGGGAGTATAATGAACCGAGTCAATGCAATAAAATCCAACAATTTCCCATGATACTCTTTGATTTACAAGCCCTATATTCCTTTGTTTCTTATTAGAAGGTTCAAAGTGTTTTAAATATATGGGTATTTATGCCTGAAATTAATCCTCCTTGACAACCAAAAAGAATATATATTGTAATGCTGAGGGAAGCTTCTCCACATGCAAATATATAGAATTTTTTAGTTACATACTTCTAAAGCTGTTCTGATATTACTGGCTAGTTATGCAGCAGTTTGGACACAAAAAATAGTAAAACCATATAATTGTAGAGGTCTATAGAAGCAGTTATAGTCCAATTGTCACAAACTCAGTTCTGGAGGTAAGATTGTTGTATAAATATAGAAAGTTTTATATTTATAAAACAATATACACTAGACTTCAGACTACCTTCCCTACTTAAAATGACTCCTCTAAATACAAGCATTAAAGCAGAATGATTTGATGACTGTTCGAAGTTACAACAGTATTGAGAAAATGACATGATCATTTTTCACACTTCTGACAGTCACAGCATCCTCACAATCACGTAATCAAAATCCGGATATTTGGCAACTGACTCATATTTATGATGGCTACAGAGTGCAAAGATCATGTGATCACTTTTTGCAACTTTCTGATGAGCAAAGTCAATGGGGAAGACATTTAACAATTATCTTACTAATTTAACAAGTGCAGTGATTCACTTAATAACTGGCAAGGTCATAAAATGGGGCAAAACTCACTTAATTGACATGCTTAGCAACATAAATTTTGGACTCAATTGTAGTCCTAAATCAAGGACTACCTCCATTACACAGAGAATATTAGGAAAACTTCCACCTTTAAATGATCTAAAGTAACTTGCAGTTTCGGAAGATTTTCTGGAATGTAAGAATACATTTCAAGGCACTGATCACTTAATACAAGACTAGACATCAACAGTTGAATAAGAACAATGTTAAATAGAGGAGTGGAAAGTGCATTTTCTTGTTTCTTGCAAGTAAGATTTCATCTTGCTAGCAATCACTTTAGTAAATGTGATTCCCTCTGTATATACATCTTAGATATATAAATTTTAATTGGAGTTAATTTCCATGAATGAAAAACCTAAGATCATATAAATGGTTGTTAATGTCACAGCATCTGTGAGTACCCTCGATTAACCCTAAATTTTCCAATATAAAAATAACACTGTGATAACCCCTTGTCATTCTGAAGTTAGCCTTTCTCATTAAAAAGACAACAAAATACCTCTCCAATAAGAGCTCTTTGCCCATCAGCTCTGGCCTCCAGGAAGAAGCGCATAAAAAGAGCATTTTCTTCTTTCATTCGATCTGCTTTTGCTTTTGGTGTCTCCTCAACATGATTGCTCTGTGAGAGAATAACAAAAATAACCAGCATTTATAATTAATGACTGTTAATAGTTCCTATCATAGCAGTTACCTTAGTTTACTCCTAGAAAGGGCAAAGAGAAATAATATTAAGCAGACACTCAAGTGAAGAAGAATAAAGATCTTAAAACCATTAAGTTTTAAGAATTACCATATTTTTCGGAATATAAGACGCACGAGTATAAAATGCGGCAAGATTTTGAAGAGGTTAAATTAAAAAAAAAAAAAAAAAGGTTTTGCCCTCCCCGGCCCCCAGGAGCACCCTGCACTCCATTTTTTCTGTGAACAATGGGGAATGCAGAGAGTTTGGGAGGCCTGCAAAGTTCTTACGGGACACAGGGGCTCAATCTTCCTAAAAGGTAAGGCTTTTATCGATCTCAATTCCACTTTTCTCTACCCCTCCCATGGCAGGGCAGGACTAAACATATATCTCCACACTTCCCCCCC